AACTTTGGAAATTTTTACATAGATGACTGTTAAGATCCAAAATGCATTTTAGAAATATCAGCAAGACTGTTTTCTAACAGTTTACTGCTAATAATTTTTTTCTTATGAAATATTTATCTAATGATTGAATAGCGTGACTGATGGAAATAAAGATGATCGTAGAACAAATAACTAAAACTATGGTCCCTAGGCCAGAAATTTTCTTCATAGGAAAGAAGTAGGAAATATATTGTTATTTGTTTGTCTCTATTTCTTTTGGTTTGCTTATTTTGTTCAAAGAGACACACATGGGCTCAAGTTCAAAATCAAAGAACATTTTGAACCTGCCCCCTACATAACACATACCACATTTCTACTTGTTTTCTTCTGCATCTATCTACATGTAAGGCCAAATTAACTAAAGAAATACAATCAATTTCTCAGTATTAAGTTTACTGCTTCATAGTTTTACTACCTAACACAGTACCTGGCATAGAGTAGGCATTAGATATAAGAAATTGAATGAATGAGACAATACAGTAATAAGGCTGTAGCTCAGCAATTCTTTAAAGTTCCACAAATGGGACAGACCTCAGAAATTCCATAAGGATACATTCCAGTACATACTCAAGTCGTCCACATCAGAAGAAATAGTGGGAGACAGTCTAGTGATAATAACCAGAGCTGGGATCACTTTTAATGCTCTTAACTATTTCTAACATCTCTATTAATACACGGAGCATTTCTTGATTTATCTTTTTGAAACATGTATTCAATTCCTGGGAAGATAGATGAGAGATTTGGCTGTTATATGACCTCAACACCTTGTCTCACCCATTCTCCTGTATAATTATTTTAGTTAAATGAGTGAAGAATATTTTCATAATTAAGCCTGCATATATTGTACGCTACGGAGCCAAGACTTTCAGTTTTATTTCTTTTCATTTATCATTTTACTTTTTGGTTTTCATAGTGTTGCTTCTTGCATTTCTTTTTTCCTACACTGTATGCCTTTGTCATATTTCTTTTTTCAAACTCTCTGTCATATCAGAAATTCTGTCATATGGCCTTTCCCCCCAAGATGTCTTTCCATTTTTCCTGCTTCAGTTAGGACTAGTTGCTTTCCAGGTCTGTTGCTCCTGGGCTGCATCCACTTCTCCTGGTTCCTATGTCTCTCTCTTTCTTGATTTCTGGTGTCACTAAAGCTACTTCCTAATGTTAGATGTAAGAGAATTAAAATTTCTGAGCTCTTACATGTGTGAAAATTTCTAAAGGATAATGTTTACATAAAGTCTAAAGTAACTGCTAGGCCACTACATTCAAATATATGTGTAATAAAATAATTGCCTTCTCTTAGCTCCTTTCCCTTAACCAGTTTGACTGAATTATGAGCAAAATACAATATAAATGATAACTACTTTTCAAGATCATAAAAATGACTTGGAATCTCATTTATTAATATCTTGGGATTCAAATTTTAATTAATATTGAAGCTTTTATTGTATATTAGAATTCATTCTCTCTGGAAATGGTTTTTGTACCTATTATGCATAAATATACACTTGTATTATATACCTAAACTAATTTGCACTTAAAAATAGTTGCCTCTGGGCTTCCCTGGTGGCGCGGTGGTTGAGAGTTCGCCTGCCGATGCAGGGGATGTGGGTTCGTGCCCCGGTCCAGAAGGATCCCACGTGCCGCAGAGCGGCTGGGCCCGTGAGCCATGGCCGCTGAGCCTGCACGTCCGGAGCCTGTGCTCCCCAACGGGAGAGGCCACAACAGTGGGAGGCCTGCGTACCGGAAAAAAAAAAATAGTTGCCTCTGACTCATCCTCTTGTTCCCACTGGTTCCCTCCTCCCCAATACTGCTGCTGAGAGAATGAGTGTAGGAAAAATTTTGGAGCTTTTAAAGAACTATTTAGAAGGGAAGAAAGTCAAGGAACTTGAAAGCAGAATTAATTTAGAAGGCTAACCCTGGAAACACTTGTATATGTAGTGATTCCCAAGTCATCTTATTATATTTCAAGTCACACTTTATTAAAGTTATGACACTCTACAGATGAAAATTTCATTTGGGTTAACATGAATTCTCCTTTAAAGATGTGATATGGCTTTTAGAGTTTAGTAAGTGGTGTCAGTTCTCCACACTTTAAAGAGAATTACCTCCCACCTTCACCCCCCTCGATGTTTCTCTAATATCTAGCTGAGGTCAGTAGCACTGGGGCAGAGAAAGTAAAGATAATTTTAGTGAATGGTTCAGCAGACTCAGGGCAATGCCAAGGCACCCAAAATGTGTATCAAGCTAATGTGACTCTGGCGTCAGTATCAGGAGGCAAAATTTGTCAGGTAAACCCACGAGAAATAGAAGTGATTCTAATGGGGTAATTGATAGTTGAGGCAGCCGCTCCATCTCAATAGGATAACGGATAGTAGCTAGCGATAAACGACCTAAACTGGCTGTGATAAGACTAAGACTTTTCCACACATTTCCAATGGCCTCCTATGACACTTAAAACCACATTCTTTCCCAGGACCTATTCAGCTCTACTGAATCAGGCATTTGTTTATTTCTTCAACCCCATTTCCTACCACCACCTTCTTCTCAGCTCACTAAATTTCAGCCACACTGGCATTCCAGCTATTCCTTGAACATGCTAAACTTGTTCTGCCTAGGTCTTTGTACTTGGTGTTCCCTCTGCCAGGAACGCCCAGCCCCAAATCATCTGGTGTCTTTTTCATGTCATTCATGGTCCAGCTCAGAGGTCACCTCCTTAGAAATGTCTTCCAACTTAAAATAGACACTCTCCATTTCTACCAGCCCTGCTTCCTGCATTCTCTATCTCTTCACTCTGTTTGTTTTCCTAGGACTTATCCCTTTTTGAAATTGTCTTATTTTCGTCTTGTTGCCTGACTCTGCCCTGAGTTTATATGTGCTTATGAGCAGGGACTTTGTCTTGTTAACTTTTTGTCCCCAGTTCCTAAAACCAAGCCTGCCCTGTAGAAGGTATTCAATAAATGTTTGCCAAATGAATAACTAAATAAATGAGCTACAGAGATAATGGAGCACGAATTAAGACAGAACCTCAGTGGGCTAGTCTGAGAGGGTGGAAGGAGGCAGGGGGGAAGAACCATGATGTGGTAGACAGTGTGTTCAGGATGGAATAAAAGCTCAAATTTGCCATTCTGCGACATGGAAAAATTACTTACCCTTGCTGAATGTCAGTTTTCTCAGCTTTGAAATGATAATCACTATTGTATGTCCAATTTAAAGATTCCATTAGGTGAAATTATGAATATATAAATGTGTATATAAAGAGAAGAGGCACAGAGAAGGTTCTCAATATATAGTAGCCATTATTACCATCAATATTGGGACAAATGAATTTTTGAATGCTCATTGTGTTGACACTGAAGAAGGGAAAGCTTAAGTACTCTCTATTCAATTTTCTTGTTTTTCTAAAATATCCCTTTTTATAGGATTTATTATATGTTTATAAAAGTAACAGTAACTTTAGTGTATTTTGCATATAAAATAAAATATTCATATAGTCTTGGTTTTCAGATGCAGCCAAATAATAAATTGGACCATAAAGTATGAATACTGTACCTAGCAATGAAATAGTTGTATACATGAATAGAAGAGACATAATGGCTGGTCATAAAATATGATTAACCTAGTTGAAACAAAAGGCCTCAGTACCTCACAAGTGGTGATCTCATTAGTGGGTTATAGGAGTTCCACATGAGTGAAGAAATCATGTATAATGGTTGCTCATTACACACCCTATTTATTCTTAGGGTGCCTTTTTTGAAGCTTGTTTTATTCTATTAAGTTTAAGCAAGAAGAGAGAAAAGTATGATATAAGAATATGCCAATTATATTTTAAAAGAATATTATTATTATAAGTTGGTTTGTATTAATCAAAAGAAACTTAACCCTTAATAATAAAATGAGTTTGGTGTGTATTCCATGTATGACCAAGCCATTTAACATTGCTTTCAAATCAAGACTTTTATGAAGCAGAACCTTTTGATGGGCTATTTCTGTTCCATCTCTCCTTTGTATTATTACCAGTATTGCTTCTATAGCCCCAGTTTCACCATCACTTCCGTGACTTTGGATAGTATAATTAACCATGTTGGGCCTCAGTTTCCACGCTTGTAATATAAGAAGGACATCAATGTGGCCCACCTCATAACTCAAAACGTGACAATACTTGTGAATGCTGGAAGCACTTTAAATTACCACATGCAAACAATGTGCTATTACAGAGAACTTAGTGCAGTACCTTTTGTATAATGGGTGTTTAATAAATATTAACTGAATGGACAGAACCATTGTAATAACAAGATCAGCCTTGTTATACAGCGATTGGGAGAGTAGGACTCTGACTTACCTTTCTTACATGTATTTTATATCTGTAAGTGCCAGGTGATAAAGATAGGAAACCTACAAATGTTTACCTCATATCTTCCTCCATTAAAATATTTTGAGGATTAATATTTAGCTATCTTTCATCAATGCTGAGGGTTTTTTTGTACACAGTAGCAAATGCTTTATATTTTTCTTTAATTGAAAATTTTGTATCTTTAAAACTGGTTGTTAATAGGATTTAGTAGTTTAGTAGATTTTTAAATGTATTTTAACACACTATAATATCTGCTGAAAATGTTCACATTTGAATAAGATTTTCTATTTCACTGTTAGACAACAATATGGTGTTATCAGAATGCTATGTACTCAAATTGTTGAGTTAAATTTTTTAGCCCTGTTAAAATAATCACAAGAAAAATCTATGGTAGTTTATGACTCAAGGGCACAAGTAATAGACTAGGCTAATTAAATTAGTAATCAATTTTCTTTTAATCCAATGAAGTAGATTAATATCGCCTATCCATCTGATTAATTCAGGCCAAAATATTTTATTTTCTCAAAAACAAAATTTCAATCTGAACCATCCAGTTACCCCAAACCATTCCTTTAACTTGTCAGTGTGTTGCATTGGTCATTCCATCACTTACCTTTTCAACAAATTTTTGACTGTGCAACAGAAAATACATCAGGTTCAGGAGAGTAGAAATAGTTGAGTGGTCCTTATGCTGGAAGAGGTCACAGTCTTACAGGCAGTGCTAATGGAAAATAAAAAATTGTATCTAGTTAATATAGGCAAAAAGACTTTGAAGATTAATTTTCAAAATAACTACCCCAACTCAAAATATCTTCTTTGGGTTGGGCTGTTAGCCTAACTCTCCACACTGGTATTTCAAGTGGCTTCATTTAATAGCTGTTTTGTAAAGGCAATATAAGGTAAGATTTGAGAGCACAGACCCTGGAGCCAGACATGTGGGTTTGAATCCCAGGTCTAATACTTATGAACTGTGCAACCTTGATCTTCTTCCTTAACCTCTCTGTGTCTTAGTTTCCTCATCTGCAAAATGTGGATAATAAGACTACTCACCTCACAGTTGCAAGGTTTAACAGTAAAGCACTTAGAACAGTGCCTGATAAAGTGTAAGTTATACAAGTGTTAACTATTACCAGCAGAAATAAAATATTTATTTAAATATACCATGATCTATGTAATTATAACATGATACATGATAACTGCATATATCATACAGATATCTATATACCTACACATACATATAGATGATAAATGAAGCAATGTTGTAATAGTAGTAAACTATAAGTTATATCTTAGATGAGGAATACACTGCTTACGTTGAGTTGGAAGAATAAAGAATAAATAAAACCTCCTCTCTTGTTTTTCCACTAAAATTTAAAATTTACCTTTTTATAATGCATATGGCTCAAAGTGAAGTTGTGTTGATATGGACTGGCATACTTTAGTAACCATTGTTGCACTTCTTAAATAATGACGATAAGAAGGAGAGATGTAAAATCAAATAGAATATTTACTAGCCATAAACATGAATATTTTTAATAACTTGATTTCATAGGATTTATTATCTAGCACTACAACACTTAGATCTATTTATAGAGCTTAAAAAATGAGTTCTACAGTTCTGAGTCTAATTTAGGGCATATGAAAATTCTTAATGTTTTAAAAACACCTCAGAGAAATAGAGCAGCCTCCCTTATCAAAATAAAATACTAAATCTCCCAAGATTTGAGCCAGGTAATGTTTTAATTTTAATGAAATTGGCCTTTGTCCTTGAAAGGGACAAAATAAACGGATTGGCTAGTTCCTGAACGCTGCTACATCCAGAAATTTTTTTTTTTTTTTTTTTTTGCGGTACGCGGGCCTCTCACCGTTGTGGCCTCTCCCGTTGCGGAGCACAGGCTCCGGATGCGCAGGCCCAGTGGCCATGGCTCACGGGCGCAGCCACTCCGCAGCATGTGGGATCCCCCTGGACCAGGGCACGAATCTGTGTCCCCTGCATCGACAGGCGGACTCTCAACCACTGCACCACCAGGGAAGCCCCAGAAATATTTCTTAATCCATGAGTAGGCCTTAGGAAAGGAAAGCAACCCTGGCAGCTAGTGGTGATAGTAAGTAAGCAGCTCTAAGTACAACATAAAGGCAAAAGGAAAAGCTCAAAAGGAGAACATCAGGACTGTTCTCACTGACAAATCTCCTTCCTGGTTCATAACTGCTAAATTCTTATTTAAGCATTGTTTTAATAGAAAGACTGTCCTTCGTAAACTTTTATTTCAATTTTATTTTTAACTACATAGAATCCATAAAAGTATTAATTATTATATTTTCATACCTTGCAGTTTTACAAAGTAGGTAATAACTCATATTCTCTATTGCTATATTAGGCTGTAGTTTTTCTGGCTGTGTAATATTCCTTTAGGAGACTATATCATGATTTAGTTATTTTGTGGATAGACATTTATGTTCTAGTTTTATTTTTCAATTTTTTAACATATTTATTGGAGTATAATTGCTTTACAACGGTGTGTTAGTTTCTGCTTTATAACAAAGTGAATCAGCTACACATATACATATATCCCCATATCTCCTCCCTCTTGCGTCTCCCTCCCATCCTCCGAGTCCCACCCCTCTAAGTGGTCACAAAGCACCAAGCTGATCTCCCTGTGCTATGTGGCTGCTTCCCACTAGCTATCTATTTTACATTTGGTAGTGTATACATGTCCATACCACCCTCTCACTTCGTCCTAGCTTACCCTTCGCCCTCCACATGTCTTCAAGTCCATTCTCTAAGTCTCCATCTTTATACCTGTCCTTCCCCTAGGTTCTTAAGAAACATTTTCATTTTTATTTTTTTTTTAAATTCCATATATATGTGTTAGCATATGGTATTTGTTTTTCTCTTTCTGACTGACTTCACTTTGTATGACAAACTCTAGGTTGATCCACCTCACTACAAATAACTCAATTTCATTTCTTTTTATGGCTGAGTAATATTCCATTGTATATATGTGCCACATCTTCTTTATCCATTCATCCGATGATGGACACTTAGGTTGCTTCCATGCCCTGGCTATTGTAAATAGTGTTGCAATGAACATTGTGGTACATGACCCTTTTTGAATTATGGTTTTTTCAGGGTATATGCCCAGTAGTGGGATTGCTGGGTCATATGGTAGTTCTGTTTGTAGTATTTTAAGGAACCTCCATACTGTTCTCCATAGTGGCTCTATCAATTTACATTCCTACCAACAGTGAAAGAGGGTTCCCTTTTCTCCACACCCTCTCCAGCATTTATTGTTTCTAGATTTTTTGATGATGGCCATTCTGACCGGTGTGAGGTGTTACCTCATTGTGGTTTTGATTTGCATTTCTCTAATGATTAATCATGTTGAGCATCCTTTCATGTGTTTGTTGGCAATCTGTTTATCTTCTTTGGAGAAATGTCTATTTAGGTCTTCTGCCCATTTTTGGATTTGATTGCTTTTTTGATATTGAGCAGCATGAGCTGCTTATAAATTTTGTAGATTAATCCTATGTCCGTTGCTTCATTTGCAAATATTTTCTTCCATTCTGAGGGTTGTCTTTGCATCTTGTTTATGGTGTCCTTTGCTGTGCAAAAGATTTTAAGTTTCATTAGTTCCCAATTGTTTATTTTTGTTTTTATTTCCATTTCTCTAGGAGGTGGGTCAAAAAGGATCTTGCTGTGATTTATGTCATAGAGTGTTCTGCCTATGTTTTCCTCAAAGAATTTTATAGTGTCTGGCCTTACATTTAGGTATTTAATCCATTTTGAGCTTATTTTTGTGTATGGTGTTAGGGAGTGTTCTAATTTCGTTCTTCTACATGTAGCTGTCCAGTTTTCCCACCACCCCTTATTGAAAAGCCTGTTTTTCTCCATTGTATATTCTTGCCTCCTTTATCAGAAATAAGGTAACCACATGTGCGTGGGTTTATCTCTGGGCTTTCTAGCCTGTTCCATTGATCTGTATTTCTGTTTTGTGCCAGTACCATACTATCTTGATTACTGTAGCTTTGTAGTACAGTCTGAAGTCAGGGAGCCTGATTCTTCCAGCTCCATTTTTCTTTCTCAAGATTGCTTTGGCTATTCGGGGTCTTTTATGTTTCCATACAAATTGTGAAATTTTTTGTGCCAGTTCTATGAAAATATGCCATTGGTAATTTGATAGGGATTTCATTGAATCTGTAGATTGCTTTAGGTAGTATAGTCATTTTCACAATGTTGATTCTTCCAATCCAAGAACACGGTGTATCTCTCCATCTATTTGTGTCATCTCTAATTTCTTTCATCAGTGTCTTATAGTTTCTGCATATAGGTCTTTTGTCTCCTTAGGTAAGTTTATTCCTAGGTATTTTATTCTTTTTGTTGCAATGGTAAATGGGAGTGTTTCCTTAATTTCTCTTTCAGACTTTTCATCATTAGTGTATAGGAACGCCAGAGATTTCTGTGCAATAATTTTGTATCCTGCTACTTTACCAAATTCACTGATTGGCTCTAGTAGTTTTCTGGTAACATCTTTAGGATTCTCTAAGTATAGCATCATGTCATCTGCAAACAGTGACAGGCTTACTTCTTCTTTTCTGATTTGAATTCCTTTTATTTTTTTTTCTTCTCTGATTGCTGTCGTTAAAACTTCCAAAACTATGTCAAATAATAGTGGTGAGAGTGGACATCCTTGTCTTGTTCCTGATCTTAGAGGAAATGCTTTCCATTTTTCACCATTAAGAATGATGTTGGCTGTGGGTTTGTCATATATGGCCTTTATTATGTTGACGTTAGTTCCCTCTATGCCTACTTTCTGGAGAGTTTTTATCATAAATGGGTACTGAACTTTGTTGAAAGATTTTTCTGCACCTATGAGATGATCATATGGTTTTATCCTTCAGTTTGTTAATATGGCTTATCACACCGATTGATTTGCATATATTGAAGAATCCTTGCATTCTTGGAATAAACCCCACTTGATCATGGTGTATGATCCTTTTAATGTGCTGTTGGATTCTGTTTGCTAGTATTTTGTTGAGGATTTTTGCATCTATGTTCATCAGTGATATTGGCCTGTAGTTTTCTTTTTTGTGATATCTCTGTCTGGTTTTGGTATCAGGCTGATGGTGGCCACGCAGAACAAGTTGGAGAGTGTTCCTCTCTCTGCTATATTTTGGAAGAGTTTGAGAAGGATAGGTGTTAGCTATTATCTAAATGTTTAATAGAATTTGCCTGTGAAGCCATCTGGTCCTGGGCTTTTGTTTGTTGGAAGATTTTTTTTTTTTTTATTTTTTATTTTTTTATTTATGTTGGAAGATTTTTAATCACAATCTCAATTTCAGTGCTTGTGATTGATCTGTTTATATTTCCTATTTCTTCCTGGTTCAGTCTTGGAAGGTTGTGCTTTTCTAAGAATTTGTCTATTTCTTCCCGGTTGTCCATTTTATTAGCATATAAATGCTTGTAGTAATCTCTCATGATCCTTTGTATTTCTGCAGTGTCAGTTGTTACTTCTTCATTTCTAACTCTACTGATTTGAGTCTTCTCCCTTTTTTTCTTGATGAGTCTGGCTAATGGTTTATCAATTTTGTTTATCTTCTCAAAGAACCAGCTTTTAGTTTTATTGATCTTTGCTATCGTTTCCTTTATTTTCATTTATTTCTGACCTGACCTTTATGATTTCTTTCCTTCTGCTAACTTTGGGGTTTTTTTGTTCTTCTTTC